AGCCACCCTTTCTACCCACGATGGGCTTATTACATCATCGTCTCGCCGCTCATCGTCCGAATCGCGCGGTTTCGTGGGCTCGATGTAAACGTACCCCCACACGAACCCGTGCGAGATTGAAGATTATTTCTCCTCGGTGAAATGCGTAGATCTGATTGGAGGCCCATCTGAAGCATACGCCCAATCAGAGTTGGTGTAACATATGACAACAGGTCATAAACAAAAGATAGTGTTGTGTGTCCGATTACGAGAAATCTCAGAAGCCTTTGTTGGCGGCCATTGCACAGTTCCCACGATTGTGTTCGTTATATGGTCTGGTACTGAACAAAAACTACAATAGTTGGTCGAACTATTAATGGACTAGGCCATCATTTGATCCGATTACAATGCGTATGACCCAGGCACCGCAGTCGATTCAATGCGTTCGTTTCTGTACTGGGGCCTGAAGTTCGTGTGTAGTTGGGTTCTGTGGAAGTCAATACATGGACCGTAACGTCTATGGGGAAGCAAGAGCATGTTCCAGTACAGGACCTTATTCTTCCTCAAAATAACTTAAAGTACAGAATTGAAACAGTTTGATAATGGACTGCATGCATTTCCCCAACAATCACCAATATTCGTTTCTGGTCTATCAGCCACCGGCAGAACTATCACAAGGGAGGAAACAAAACAAACATTTTGTTTAGCTGCCGAAAATCTTACCTCAAAATACAAAGTATCTTGTCCGCTCCAGGTATGGGTGCTTATAAGACACTGGACTATTGGAAGATCAATGTCGACCGCCCGTGTATGACAAAATATGATCATTTCTAATCATCGTGATATCAGCTTTCGAGTAAATTCAAGACTGCGCATTTTAACTGCTCGATCGAGGGCGCTCCACGCGTGCGCAGATTAGCAGAAACTGAGGTAACTGGTATGCTGTAGGTGGCTGTAGTGGTGAGGCGATTGCCGAATAAATTAAACGTCTTATTTATAAATTTGCATGCCGCCATTTTGTTTGGAATCCCTTGCCGTACAGGTATCATACTACAAGTAAAATATTATCGACAACCAAGTAAAAAGTCGTGAAACAGCAATATTTTATAGATACATGATTTAAATGAGTACATGTACAATGTACTATAAACATTTTACAAAATTGAAATTGGCCAGTTTTTGTTTCCATTTCTGCATAAGACTGGATTCCTGAAAAGCCCCATAACTGCTCGACTATCCAATTCTTTACTTGGTGCTTGGTAGAGTTGTTTAACTTCATTAACTCTACTTAAGGTAGAAGCCTAGTCACAATTTTTGACGAAATCGGTCATAAATCGCATGACAATCATGAATGTTCATTAGTTTATTATGTACAATCATGAAGCTAATGCCATTATTTTGTGTGTTACAGTTATGCTTTTTGAGAAACGTGTCCTAATATTTCTTGAAAATTGCTATCTTAGAACAATTCCATAGACAATGTTAAATAAAAATAAAAAGTACTCCATCATTAACAATATATGATTTGTTCAGCCTATGTCACCAGGCTAGATTTTGAGATATTGCATAATATCTCTGCCATAGGAACCTGTGGTTAAAGTGTCACAATAGTGTCAAAATAGTGACTTTCCACTAAAATATAACCACCAATTCTCGAAAAAAAGGCTGCGCTACAAAAGCGCTACATAGTTGGTGTGAGCTATAGCGCCTTCGCCGACGGATTCAGTCGAATTCAGTCGGACGCACGAGCTCAAATTGCTACGTGGCTGGTGACCGTTTCCACCTTCGCTGCTACTAGTACCCGGCGTCTCCTATGAGCTGTATATGGGAAGCCCGTAACAAGTAGTGTAAAGTGTTTATAGTTTGTCCCTATATTTGATATACAACTCGTCAAAAATCAGTGAAAATAAACTTTATACAAAACAACCACAAATAATTATTTTACAGTATTGGACATTTCAATATTCGTTGATGTGTAGTTGTTCGTCATATGAAATATTAAAATATATCTCTCAAAAACATACTCGTCATTGAATGACTCCGTGTCACCCAATTATGTCATAGTGGTTGCGTTTCATCGTAGATAATATTAAAACAAAACATATATAGTAAAAAATATGTATTTACATTATTGTGATTTATTCAAATAATTTAAAAATGATTTAATATCCCAACTAAACGTCGGCATATTACAACACCAGTGATATCACATCAATGATTTTAATGACTGCAGTCACATATATCACCCAGAAAGAACTGACATAAGTAGTTGCATTAAAATAGAAACCAACAATATTTTCATCGAAGTATAACGTAATGGTATTATTAACACGTGTGTCGTCTTTTCCCCGAGTCTGTTCAATGCTGTCACTATGAGTTTAAAGTGCCCATTGATAAAGCTATAGTACAACAAGCCATGCATGGCACAGTCTCCGTTAGTTATCAAATTTAAGATATATAGTTTTGTTTATAGTAATATAGCTGGATATACCATGTCAGAAATATGATTTTTTAACATTAA